CATGCATATACACACATGCACGGTCGTACAAACACAGAGATGGGTGTGCACTCATGTGTGTGCACCCCGCAGTACAGACATGTATGCATATACTCGTGTGCTCGATCACATGCACATGCACACACTCAATCACACATGCACACACAGATGCCCACGTGCACTCTTGCACACTTGCCTGACATGTGTGTGCATGGCCACATACTCAATCACATGTGTACACACATACTCACATACTCACATGCACACGTACACATATACATACACTGACACATGCGCTCACACACTCGATCACACGCACATGTATGCTCACATACACACTTGCACACACATACACTGGCACATTTGCGCACACGCTCACACAGAGGAACACACATGCACGCTCACATGCTCACACACGCACACTCTCTCACTCTCACTCACGCACACACACACACGTACTCACATGCACAGAGGTGCAGGCCCCGCTAGGGAATGTGGGTCCCCACGGCAGCCGGGGACCAGGCGCAGGGAGCTGGAGAGAAAGATGGAGGCAGCCTGGAGCGGGGGTGGAGGGACGCGAGGGGAGGGGTGGGAGGGGAGCTGCTCTCTGGGAGGCCCCTCCCCATCGCCTGCCTGATCCCCCTTTAGTCCTCTCGCTCAGCCCAGTGGGGCGCGGGGGGCAGGACCTGAGGGAGGGCTGCAAGGGGCCGGCTCCCCAGACCCCTGGACGTGACTGGGCCGGCGCTCCCCAGGGAGCTGCGCAGCGAGGATGCCCTGTTCTCACCCACCCCGTAGAGGGGTGCGCCTGGCTTCGGGGTGCGACGGGCCCAGGGTCTGACAGACGGTGAGCGGCCGGCACTGACCACCAGGGCGACTGGCCCGTGGCCTCCACGCCCCAGCAGAAGCCTGTCGGGCCGCACTGCCGGCCTCTGCTTGGAGCAGGCAGAGCTCGAGGGCGCCATGCGGGTTCGCGGCGCTCAGCTGGAGCCTCGGTGGCCGCTTCCCCGCCCGGAGCCGGCCAGGGCGCAGTGACTCCGCCCCCGGGGTCTTTTCCATGTCTGCGGGGGTGCCCGTGTTATCAGACGTCTTCGGCTTCCCCTGCTAATCTGCCGGGAGGTGGGGTGTCGGCCAAGAACCTGCGAGGGCCGTGAGAAGATAACTCTCCCTCCTCTGCAGGCCCAGGCGTGAAAACGTCTCTCGCCACCCCCCTTTGCCGAAGAGGCCCGGACAGCCGCAGCGGCCTGACAGCTCAGCCAGCCCACAGCCCATAGCGGGTGCCGGCTTCGCCCAGCGCCTGCACGC